CCTCTTTGTCATTTGGGGGTAAGAAGATGGATGTGAGAACTCAACACCTGACTCCTATGGGATCTCGTTTTACGAAGATGTTCACTCCTTTCCTCTGTGCCTGAGAAAACTCTTACGATCCAGGAGGGCCCAGTACTCCCAGGAAGCCCTCCTGGCTGCCCCAGCCCACTCAGAGCCCTCCCTCCTCTGGACTCCCTTGCACATACTGTCAGCAGCCCAGTGTCACACCAGATCGTTTTCATGACACTTCATGCCCATTGGTTCTCTCTCCCCAGTTAGATTATGGTGGAGTCCGTGCCGTATGTCTGTCTGTTCTCAAGAGACCCTCCAGTGAGGAGGACACAGCAGGGTGGAGTGGAAGATGGATGGGTCTGTGGTTCTTCTCACCTGCCCTTAAGGTGTCTCCCACTCCACTTATTTTTAGTCTGAAATAAACATGTAGGATGGACCAGGGTCCTATCTGTGGAGTAACCACTGGCCTCAAGGGCACCTCGATCAGAGAACAAAGGTAGGAGGGGGAGGGGGAGGCAGGTATCGAGGGAAGATGGAGAGTTGGCTGATGGGTGGAGGACGTGGTTGTGTAGAATTAAAGAATCACTCACTGTTGGGGCTGGAAGGGATCTCAGAGATTAGCTTGTTTGGTCTCCTCATTTTACAGGTAAGGAAAGTGAGATTGAGCGATCCTCCTACAATGACCCAACAAATGGGCCCCTTTCCATCACCTCTGACCTCGTTCACGTCTCCCACATCTCTCCCTGGACTACTGCACAGCTTCACATAGCCGATTATATTTTTCCAAGATGCTCACGCCGGTAGATCACATTGCACATGCTTTTCTTACGTCAGGGACACTCCTCCATTGAGAAGTAGGTCTATGTTCCTCTCGTTGAATCTGATGGGCCATGATTACGGCAGAAGTTATCTCGTGTGACTTTGTAGGTTGTTATTAAAGGCGGTACAGCTGCTGCCTGGACCTCTCTTGGGACACTTGCCCTTGGAACCCAGCCACCACGCTGTGAGGAAGCCAGGCAGCCACGAGGAGAGGCTTCATGTAGGCATTCTGGCCCCGGTCCTGAGAGCCCAGCTGACAGCCAGCATCAGACACCAAATGTGAGTGAATGAGCCTTTCAGTCCCAAGCTGAGTGGAGCAGACACAAGTGGTCCTGGTGGAACTGGCCCAAATGGCAGACCCGTGAGCAAAATAAATGCTGTCATTGAGGGTTGGCATGATTGAAACACCTTATATCTGCCTCAGTCTCTCCAAACTACCATGCACACTTCATTAATTCAACAGACCTTTATTAGACACTGACCACACGCTAGGATCTGTACAAAGACAGACATGATTTCTATATTCAAGGACAATACATTTCAGCTGCCGCCACCGTTCCTTTGCACACAGAAGAAAACCCATACTCCTCAGCCCTCTGCTCATGGCTCCAGCCTATCACCCACCGACACCACACCAAACTGTTTTGTCCCCAGATCTGATCTCCATCCTCCGCTCTCTATGCCTTTGTTCATGTTGTCCCCGCCCCTGCAGTGCTTCTGCCCTGTCCCACCTCAACCTTCAAGGGCCTTCGCTCTGAGACCTTGTCCCCTCACAAGGCGCCCCCCCCCGGACTCCTCCAGCGCAAAATAATCGACGTCCCCTCGCACGCCCACGGCACTTACCTCAGATTGCACAGCTTCTGTCAGCACAGCACCTCTCCCGAGCTTCAGTATTCTGTGAACCCCTGGAGGAGGGGACCTGGCTTGTCCCTCCTGTCCCTCACAGCATCTCGCATAGGGCCCAGTACATATGAGGCCCCCAGTAAACATCTGTGAATGCGACTAGTAGCAGAACCAGAATTGAAAGTTAGGTGTTCTCCAGTGCCTTACTTGCTTCTTTGGCTATTACCACGGCAGGGGAAAAGCCCCATCAGTGGAGGGTATCAGGTGGGTGGGAGAAGCCCTTGCCTATGGCTGGGAGTTGACACGATCACTGCACGTGGAGCTGCAGGTGGCCACGAATGGACAGAGCTCTGGCTCCTGGCCAGGGCTTTGTGGTGGGTCCCCCCCCTCCCCGTCCCTTCTCTTCTTCTCAGCAAGCCCTGAGCACCCACTTCTGGAGGGGAAACATGCTGTTTCTTTGATCTTCCTCTCCTCCAACCCCGGTTCATTTCTGAGAACATCTTCCTTCTCACAGGCCCCGCTGTGCTGTCTAAGCCTCCCCTGGCACAGCGAGGGATGGTCCCACGTTCTTCCCCATGGGGTTTCTGAGGAGCCATTCCATGAGCTGTCTTTCCTGCGCCCACCTGACTGGAACTGCTTCCTGGCCCCGTGTGATTGTCACTTGCTCTCTTGGGTCCCATTCTGGCTGCATCTTGCCTGGCCCGTCCCTTGGGGGTACACCGGCAGGGTCAGGCTTCAATCCCTTTTCACTTCCCAGGACAGGATACCTCACACTGAACAGGAGTGGAGAGTGGGGTGGGCAGGATGTTTTCCAAAGGCTTTTCTCCCCAAACTGTCTCTTTCTAGGAGCTGGGAAGTGCCTCTGGGTCTCACAGTTGGTACAGCCTCCCGCTGCCTCAGCATAGTCACATCACAGGCCACAGTCACATCACAGGCCGGGTGGGGGCAGCTCTTCCTAGGACTGATTCCTGCAAATGGCTCACTGAGCCCCAGCGGGGGGCGGGTTCTGGCGGCTCAGGTATTAAGGTTGAGCACTTTCCTCTCTCTGAGGGATCTGAGGTTAGTGGAGGTGGGGAGGGGGTGGCAGGGAGGCTTCTCTATCAGCTCCTCTGTTGCCCGTTACCTCTTGGGGGCTGGTACCTGTGGCCCCACGAAGGATGCCTTTGGGGGAGCTCATCCCCATCTCACAGTCTCTCTTGCTTGTCCCAGGCTTGGCTGTGGGAGGGGCTCCGTGAGGCTTCCTTCAGGAAGGCAGAAATCTGCATTCAGCTCTGACTTCTGAGGTGTGTGCGTGTGTGTGTGTGTGTGTGTGTGTGTGTGTGTGTGAGAGAGAGAGAGAGAGAGAGAGAGAGAGAGGGAGGGAATACACAGGACGAGGGCTACTCTGTGTCCAGTCTCCTCTCTGTTGGGAGGATCAGTGGTCCCTCTGATTCCTTCATCCCCCCTAGGGATAAGAGCAGAGGCCTGTCCTGGGAACATGGGAACCTCAGTGTGGACAGCTGTCCAGGCTAGATGAGATGCCCCTCTCTACTGCCTCTCTTCCCAGGCCCCTTCTCACTGTCTCAGTCCCTTGACCTGGAGGGGAAGACACCCCAGTCTTAGGTTAATCACCTGGACTTAGTGCAGTCAAAGCAGCATCCAGGGGGTGGTCCCGGGGTGGGGGAGGAGCTGGACCAGTCATCAACTAGGTTCCTCCCAGTACCCAGACGGGTGATGTGCCTGGTGCCAGGTCACAGAGGAAGGGGAGTCTGTGCCACAGAAGGCCTGGGGCATCTTGAAGTGTGAGAGAGGAAGCTGCGGGAGGTGGAGAGGGCCGAGGGGATGACTGTACAGATAAGAGCCTCTGGTCTTTTTTAGCATCAGCTGGTGGAGCCACCCCCTTCTCTCCCACTGGCTGCCTCCCTGAGTCACTGCCCACCCACCAGCAAATTAAAAAGGGGTGTCATCTGCTGGCCAGTCACCCCATCTGGCCCCAGGGTTTGGCTCTTTTTGCTCCTGGGTGGAAGGTGAAAGTCTGGGTAGGGTGGTCTCACCAAGACCTGTTCCCCTGGGCCTTTCTCTTGCCAGGCTCTGCTTCCTTCTCTGCCCTTTGTTCCTCCCCTCCCCCCCGCATCCCAGGATGGTTCTCCCCGGTGACAAGACCCACCCCCTTGCTCCAAGGACAGAGGCAGCTGCAAACCCTCAGGGGCCCCCACATGGCCCCATCCATCTGGCCCGTCTCTGATCTGGGCTGCAGGGGAGGGGACCCGCAGGGGGCAGCTCAGTTGCCGACTACGCCCCACCGGCCAGCTCAGCTGTCAACACTCGCCTGCCGGCCCTGGCCGTCCTGAGGCCCCGCCTGGCTGCTCAGGCCGGGGACACTGCGCCCCGGAGACCCTCAGTCAGACCCAGGCAGGCGGTGGGCAGGCAGCAGGCAGACACCCTGCCTGCCCTTGAGCATCCTCAGGCCTCCTTGCCTAAATAAGGGAGCTGTAGCTGGAGTGAGCCAGCCGGCCGCGGGGAGGGGCCTGCGGCTAGGCCAGGGTTTTCCGAGGGGCTGGGCCGCCGCAGCGCCGCAGGGCCCCGAGCCCGCCGATTGGGCCTGCACCGCTGGCCCCGCGCAGCAGAGGGAGGGCGGGCCGTTCGCACAAGGGGATCCCCAGGCTGGAACCTCACGTTCAGAGGCCTCTCTTTGATCCCGAGGCTAGGAGGCTGAAACTCCTGTCAGAATGTCCCGCTCTGGGCAGAAGGGCCTGGAGTAACCCCAGGGAGGGCTCTGTGTGTGTGCGCGCGTTGGGTGGCGGGCGCCCCTGCTCTGGGTGCGTGCCCCTCCTAAATCTCACCCACCCTTATTTCAAATCTCTGTGGCCTTAGGCCTCCAGATTGTCTTGCCCTTCACATTTCTCGGGTCCCCCCTGACCCTGGGCTCGTCTTCCCAGGGCCCAGGCCTCGCCCGTGTCACCTGCAGCGGGCACTGAGCGCAAGCTGTGTGTAGGAGCCCGTGCTCGGCGCGGTGGGGGACCAGGGCATAAAGGACCGGCCCTCTCCCTTCAAGTCAGGTCCCTCGGTCCTTCCAGCGGGGAGGGGGGGGAGGCGGGGCGGGGGCGGAATCCCCAGGCTCCTTGGCCGCCTCAAGGCCGGCCGTCGCACCTGTCCTCACGGTTCCCCTACCTAAGGGCCCCTTCCCCCTCTTGGGGCGCGCCAGTCCCGGGGGCTCCTGGGCTGAGCGAGGGGCTGGGGTGGGGGGAGCCCTCGGCTCGGCTCAGCCAATGGGAAGGGCGGGCGCGCGGGTTGTGTGGGGGGAGAGGGCGGCGCTGCGGGCGCGCGGCGGGCGGGAGGGAGCCGGGAGGCGGGGGCCGGAGCTCGAGGGGCGCGCGCCGCGTTAACCCTTCCGCGGCCGGGCCGAGCAGCAGGCGCAGCCCCAGCCGCTGGCGCCGGAGCGGCTGTCGGCGCAGCGGGCGGGAGCCGGGAGCTCGGCGCTCGGGCAGGCGGAGCGCAGCGCGGAGACGCGGCGGAGGGGGGCCCGCGGCTCGGCTGGGGCCGGCAGACAGGTGTGCGGGCGGCCGGGCGGCCCGAGCTCAGGCAGCTCCAGGCCGGGCCCACGGTCCGGAGCCGGCGCCGAGCGGAGACCCCGCGCCCGCACCCCAGTCCGGGCCCCGCCCGTGCTCTGCCTGGCCGCGGGGTGCGGGGACCACGGCCGGGCCGGGCCACCGGAAGCCTGTGTTGGGCCGGGCCGGGCCGGGGTGGGTGGGGGTCCGCCCGGCCCGCCCATGGGCTCAGGATGCCGGTGCGGAGGGGCCACGTCGCGCCGCAGAACACCTTCCTGGACACCATCATCCGCAAGTTTGAGGGCCAGAGTGAGTGGGGGAGGGGGCCGGCGGGGAGGGGGCTCTGGGGGCGGGCCGAGCTCTCCAGAGTGTGAATGGGGGGGCGTGCCCGGGCCGTGTGCGTCCTGCTAGTGAGTCTACGGGGGCTGGTGACCCCAAGGCGCTGGCCAGGGGTCGCGGGGTCAAGGCTTGGTGCTGGGTGCCGTGGGCTTGGGGCCAAGGGGCCTGGTGTTGGGGAGCGCGGCAGGAAGCTCAGCTTAGGTTTCCGGGATCGGGGAGTGTGTGTATGTGACAACCTGAGTGTGCAGGGCAGGGAGGTGGGATGGGAGTGTGCAGGTATCCTTAACTCTGGGTGCCTGGATGTGTGAATGGGGCTGTGTGGACGCAAGAAAGGGAGGATGTATATGGCCCAAACTGTGGGCCCCGAAGAGTACCGTGCATGTGCCCGTCCAGACTGTGTTGCTGGAGACTGGAAGCCAAGTATGTAGGGTCAGAGCCTAACACGCTCTTGGGTGTGTGTGGGGTGTCTGTGTGTCACCCATGCGTTTGACCCTGCCTGGGGGGTGGGGAGGTATCTTTGACAAGGCTGGCAACTGTGGGCCCTGGGGTGAGAGGGAGCCAGGGCTGAAGCTGGGCTTTGGGGGCCTAACAGGCTCCAGGCGATGACCCTCTGTTGTTGCTTTTCCTGTGCTGAGCCCCTTTATGGGGACTACAGCAGCCCTAGTGCTGGCCTGGTAGGGGAGCCTTCCAGAAGTGTCCCAGGCTAGGTGAATGTTCTGTGTGTGGGTATTTGCACCCTCCTGGCATGCGTGTGTTTGTCCCCAAGGCTGCATGTGCCCTGGTGGGTGTGACTGCCAAGGGCTCTGGGAGGGGGTGACATTCCTTGCCCATGACCCTGTGAGCACAGGACAACGTGTGCTTGTGACCGTGGTGGGGGAAGGGAGGGGGCAGTGCGCTGGGCAGCATTGTCTGAAGCAGAGGGACAGGGTGATCCTGAGGGGGAGGAGACTGCGGTGGTGGAGGGCAGTGAGGCCGGGGCTTTCACTCCCACAGGCTCGGGGAGGCTCTGTAGGCTGGAAGCGGGGGGCCTGCCTCTGGCCCCACCTTGCCACTGACTGCTGCGTGACCTTGAGTGACTCTCTTCCGAATCTGGGAAGGAGGGGGCGGCCAGAGGGGCCTTTCAGGTCCCTTCTGTCTCGCTTATTCTAGGAGCTCAGGGAGGGGGGGGGGGGGGGGGGGGGGGGGCGGGGGGGGGGCCTGCCTTCGAAGAAACTCACTCTCCTCTCCAGGCCTGGGAGCGGGGCCCAGGTGGTTTTTCCTCTCTGAGGATGGTGCGTGCGTGGCTGGTATGTGGCTGCTACGAGGGACTGCCTCGGGCTCAGTCAGGAGTCTTTTCCTGTGACAGGGAGCCCTGCCTTGTGGGGCTGATGGCTGCCTGAGAGTTCTGGGGGGCCTGGGGAACTGACCTAAAGATGACCCAACTTCAAAAAAGTAATTTCCTGGAGGCCAGGGTAAGGGAGGGGAAGGCAGGACGAGGCCAGATCCTGGCGCAGCAGCCTGGGCCTTGCACATGTGATTGCCCAGGGCTGCATCCTGAGGGCTATGCCCACTAGGAAGGGGGAGGGCAGCGTTCCGACTGCTACCCAAAGCCCCAGCGTGAAAGGCCAAAGTGGCCGGAAACTTCTGTGTTTATAAAAACCTCTATCCTCAGAGCATCTCTCCTGGCACAAGCTGGGGCTGCCGCCCGCCTGCTGCTCACCCACCAGCCTGGCTCTTGGGGCATGTGTGGAGGGAACGAGCCAAGTCTAGCTGCAGCGGGTCCATTGGGGCCTCCCCTTGATGGGGCCGAACTGAGGAAGGCCTCACATCCCTGGAGAGCCGCTTTCATGGGTCTGTTTACAAGTGGGCCGCTCTCTCAGGCCAGGCTGGGCTCCGGGTGTTGCCAGGGTTTGGAGCTGCAGGTCCCTCTCCTTGCTCCCTATGACCTTGGGCCTCCACCAGTGCCCCACTTATTCCTCACCGGCTGCCGGGCCTAGGTTCGAAAGCGGGCTCTATCTTTTACAAGCTGCAAGATGAGGGCAAGAACTTCTTCTGAGTCTCAGTTTCTTCATCTACGAAACGAGGATAACGATGGGATTGTCAGAGTATTAAATGAGAGAAAGGATCGTAGGTGCTCACGTGGTACTTCTTCCCTCATCCTCTTTGACGCGCCCACTGCCCAGCTCCTGACTGCCCTTGGAGGGGTCGCAGAAGTCCCAGGAAGTACTGACCTGGCAGGGTCCACAGATACTTGGGGGAGTGGTTTCCTAGGGGTCCCCGGGGTAAGGAGTGCCCAGGGAGCGCCCCCCAGTCTAGAGAGCGGGGGTCAGGAAGAGAAGCCGGAGCGGTGCAAAGGGAATGCTGGCCGCCATCTCTGGCCCTTCTCAGGCTCCGTCTCCAGGCCCAGTGTTTATCCCTCCGCCGCGGCTGCTGACACGCGTTGCTGACACCCGCCCAAGGCTGGCCTCGGCCTCGGGCGCGGAGGGGGCGGCGGGCCGCTGGCAGTCCGCCCGGGGGAAGCCACGCAGCCAGCCCGCGGGCCGGGCGGGGGAGGGGGCGCGCCGCCGGGCCGGGCCGGCCAAAGCACCTGTGTCGGGGCACAGCTGCGTTCGTCCCCTGCTGGGGACCCCAGGCCCGCTGTGCTTCCTGGGGCGGGGAGTCCCCGGGCGGGCGACTGTGTAGGACAAGAGAAGGCGGGGAAGGGCTGGGAACCCGGGGGGCAGGGGTCCCGCTCACGTGCCTGCTTATCCCCGCCCCCCAGGCCGCAAGTTCATCATCGCCAACGCTCGGGTGGAGAACTGCGCTGTCATCTACTGCAACGACGGCTTCTGCGAGCTGTGCGGCTACTCGCGGGCCGAGGTGATGCAGCGACCGTGCACCTGCGACTTCCTGCACGGGCCGCGCACGCAGCGCCGTGCCGCCGCGCAGATCGCGCAGGCCCTGCTGGGCGCGGAGGAGCGCAAAGTGGAGATCGCCTTCTACCGGAAAGATGGTAGGCGCGGGCTGGGGCGGGGCGGGGCGGGGCGGGGCCGAAAGGGCGGGGGGGGGGGGGGGGGGGGGGGGGGGGTGGGGGCGGCCGGCGATTGGCCGGAGCCCCGGCCTGTTGCAGGGGGGCGTGACCTCAGCAGGGACCTATGGGGTGCGCCAGGTGGGAGGCGCGGGCTGGATATTGGCTCTCTTTACCCCAAGCACTCTGGTGGGGTGGTTTACGGGGTGCCCAAGGGGCTGCTTGGTTGTGGTCTGGAGTCTCTGGTTCCTTCCTCCCTGGGCAGATGTGGGCACGTTGAGCTAGGTGGGTTGGAGTTTGACGGCAGCACCGGGATGGCAGGTACGTGCATGGATGGAGGTAATGGAAGTCCAGGCCGGTGGCTGGGCGCCGACCTCCGCCCACAAGGCCTCTAGCTACCCTCGCCTCTGCCAGGTGACTGACTGGTCTGGGGAGTTGTCGCTGAGGGCGAGGCGGGGAAGGGCTGCAGGACTCTGGCTGGCTCTCTGCCGCCCCTCTCCTGCCCCCTCTCTCTTCTGCCCTTCAGCTGCACCTGGCGGGAGGTGTGTGCCTCTCCCCACAACCTCAGTTCCCTTTGTCCCATCTTTTGAGCGCCCCGCCCGCCACCCCTTCCTGCGCCAGGTGTCTCTGCTCAGCCACCGCCTCCCCGCCCAGCTGCGCTGTCTTCCGGCGAGCGGATAAACAGAGCCATGGGCGGGGCTGCTCCCACACCGCCCCTGCCCTGGTGGGGTGGCCTTTGCTCAGGGAGGGCAGTGCCGCAGGGCTTGGGGGGACCTGCAGGTATCAGAAGGCTGGGGAGGGGGCTCTGGAAGGTGCCGCAGGGCTGCCCACCGGTGCCCAAACCCTGTCGCTCACCAGTGTGTATCTGATGAGCATTTACCGAACCCCTGTGAGCCAGGTGCAGCAAGGTCTTGGAGATGGAGCAGTGTTCAAGACAGAGGAGGTTCCTGCCCACAGCAAGCTTACCTGCTGTAGACAGCGCTCTCTGTCTCTTCCTGGGGGCAGTGAGCCAGCAGCCCCCGTATGCCTCTGGCCCTGTCCCTTGGAACCTCCCCTGTATGCTATGCTCAGGGTTGGCTGCAAAGGATTACATGCCCTGATGACCCTGCTTTTGCAGGGGTGCCCAGCTGTGAGATCCCTGGACAGAATCAGAGTCGGGGACAGTCACTGGGGACCTGTGGAAGAGGGTTTGCTCACAGCAAATGGGCCTCTGGCTGGGAGATTAGATGCAAACTCTGAAGGCAGGGCCTCCTTTCTGGTTCTTCACTGATATCCCCCCAGAACCTTCATCAGAGCAGATGTGCTTTTATATCTGCCTGGCTATCTAGTACTAGCTAATATCAGTGGGCGCCTTCTATGCGCTGGACACTGGGCCGAATGTTTCACTTGCATCATCTCACGGAATCTTCACAACCACCCTGGGAGGTAGATACTATTTTTTCTGCATTTTGTGGTTGAGGAAACTGAAGTTCAGGAAAATTAAGAAACTTCCGTAGAGAGGGCAGAGCTGGGAATGGAACCCTGTCTGTCCGATCAGAGCCCTGTCCGCTCTGCTCTGCTGTCATGTATTAAAAAGGAGGCAAAATGGTTGCAGGTATGTCTCTAAACTGCACGTTACTTTACGCGCACTTTTATTTTGAAAGTTCGCAAACCATTGGTGTCATGAGAAGAACGTGAATACACACGTCCTGGGTTCAGGTCTAACACCAGAAATTCTGTGATGCGGATCAAGTTGGTTACTGCCTTGAGCCCGTTTCTACTTCTGGGATAGTGTGCCCGCCGGACCCCTCGGCAGCAGGGGCCTGGGTGATTCTGTCTTCCCTGTAGTGTGTGTGAGGAGCTGCCCTCCCTCCTTCCTGCCCCAGGCTGGCTCCTTTGGGAGAGGATGGCCGTGGAACCCCTTCTGCAGAGGTGCTCTCATGGAATCTTGGTGACCTTGAGGGTCACTTAATCCAGCCCACTCAAGTTACAGATGGAAAAACTGAGAAGCAGAGGTCAAGTTACCAGCGAATCAGTGGAGGGAGTGTGGGACTAGAACCCAGGCCTCCCACCCAAGTTCAAGCTCTTTCCCCACCCCAGGTTACTGCTCCAAATGGTGCTGTGACCCAGAAGGTCCTGTGCCAGCCATCTCGGCCTGCCCCCTTCTCTGCTCTCACCTAGGTTCCATGGGGATCAGGTGTCTCCTGGTGGCCAACAGGCTGGCCTTGGCCCTCAGGTTATGTGGGCCGCTACTTGTCCTGGTACTTGAGGCCTCGGGTGCAGACAGATTTCCTCTGCCTCCCCTCCCTCTCCCTCTGCTCAGTCCCTTGGGCAGATCTCTGTGCCTGACCCGGGCGGGGTGTGTGTGTGTGTGTGTGTAGATGTGAGGGTGTGTGTGTGTGTGTGTGTGTGTGTGTGTGTGTGTGTGTGTGTAGATGTGAGGAAGGCCAATGCCACCTCTTGTTTCTGTCCAGGCCTTTCTCAGGGTCTTTGCCTGGGCCGGCCACGGCAGAGCAGGTCCCTGGGCTTTAGCCCCAGGGAGATGGGTGGCTGGGAAGGAGGCGGGGCCTTTTGCTGGCAGGCACCACCGTGGACAGCTGTGCTGTGTCGGTGCCTCTAGCCTGGCTCTGTGCAGCCTCAGGGCCTGGAGCCAGACAGCCCCATTATTTAGCTGCTGGGACTGCTGGGAGGTGGGGAGGTCAGACTGGGGCGTGTGGGCTGCAGGGAGAGACACGAGGTGCCAGGCCCTCACTGGCCCTGTGTCCATGCTCCTTCAGGTCAGGCCCGGGATTAAGGTGCAGCGGGGATCAGGGCCCAGCAGCCTGGGGCTGGCAGGTGGTGGTATCCCCTTGGGGCTCTGGGCCGCGCCTCGGCAGCAAGTGTGCTGGTGCACACCTGCATTCCCACATTGCCCTGCGGAGGCTTCGGGCCCTTCCACCATGGCTTCTCCTCACATGCTCCCCTCCTCTTCCAGGCCTCGGGAGGTCCCCTGCCCTCTGGCCCTCGTGTTCTCTCTGCTCTTTGTTCCCGCCTCTCTGCCCCGCCCCTGCCATGCTCAGCGGCTGCCTGTGCCCATGGTCTCTGCTTCAAGCCTCCCTGCCGGCTCTGTCCCCCGCGGTCTGTACCTCCCTCTCCCTGCAGCTGTCTCTCTTCTTCCCCCCCTTCAGTACCCCCGAGCCTTCCTCCCTGCCTCTCTCCCTCTGCCCCGGTGGCCCCCGCCTCTCTGGGCTCCATCTCCAAGTCTCTGTCTGGCTCCCCGTACCTCTGCCTGTCCTGGCCTGGTCTCCATGTCCCTGTGTCCCTGGGAGCCTGTGCGTGGGTGGGGATGGGGGTGTCTCTAGAGAAGAGTCTGTTGGCTTCTCCACTCCAGCTGCAGGCCGGTTGTCATGGTAACAGGGTCAGAGGGCCCCCCCCCCCCCCGCTGCAACAGCTGAGCTGTGGGCTGGGGGAGGGATGGGGACAGAGGGCCAGCGTGCTCCCCAGAGCCCATGGGGAGCCAGAACCCCAGAGGTGACCCCACACCCACTGGTCTGTGGTCCCCAGACTCGGACCTCAGCCTCCCAGGTGCTTGCGCAGGTACTCCTGGCACCAGTGATTCTCCACACACCCCAGGCCATTTCACTGCCTCCTCCCTGGTCGCTGAAATTTGACTCTGTACTGTGACCCTCCCACACCACCCCCTTCTCCATCATGGCCCCAAGCTCAGACATCCACTCCTCCCCTCCCAGCCCTGTCCCCTCCAAGCTGTGATCCTCAGGTCCCCAGGCCCCCATCAGTCAGGGTGGCTGCTGAAGGAGCCCTTGGGTATTTTGAGGCTGGCAGGCAGGTCAAATGGAGGCTGGTACCTGGGTGTGCTCTGTGTCCTTGAGATGGAGCAGGCCGGGGTGAGCCCCGGAGGAATGAGGTTAGACACAGGTAGCACTTTACTTAGGGGTGGTGGGGAAGCCATCGAGGGGCCCCCTCCACCTCGGGCCTTCTGGTCAGGACCCGGGGCAGCTTGGAGTCCGGCAGGTGCGCACACCTGCACGGTGGTGGCCGGGAGCAGGGCTCAGGGGCTGCGTCCGAGCCCAGCCTTGCTTTCGCTCCGTGGCTCCAGGGAGGGCAGCTGAGCCGGAGCAGGGTGCCCTGGCCTGCATGGGGGCTTCCTGTCCCAGCCCCACCCTGGGGGCCGGGCGGGCCTGCCATGACCGAGGGTGTGGGCCACTCCTGGCCTTCTCTGGGGTCTGGAGAGTGTCGGGCGGGCGGCTCCTCTGTGTGGTGTCTGTTGTAGCCCCTGAGAGGAGCTATGTAAATATTTGTGCAGACGCGTCTGGGATGGGAGCAGATTTTGACAGTGGCCTCGGGCTCTGGGGAGGGGGGCCGTGGGCAGCAGGAGGGCCAGCATGGGAGTGTGAGACCGGGTGAGCCTCAGCCTCTTTTCTGCCCAGTGGTGGCTTCCAGGGTGGTGGGACTTCAAGGGGTCCAGGAAAGTCCTTTCACGATGAAACATCTTCCCCGAGGGTGCTTGAAATGCCTCTATTTGGGAACCTTTAGCTTGGGTGGAGAACGAACCTTTTTCTTTAAAAAGACATTCTCTTCTCATCACTCCTCCCCTGTAAGCAGGGAAGACTGTGGAAATAGCTCGCCCTCAGTGTGAAGGAGTTTCACAGAATCATTCCTCCCTGACATGGGGAGGGGCCCATGGGGTCAGGGCCAGAAGAGGGGGCACAGAGGGACACCTGGGACAGGTGGTGAGTATGGGAGAGGCTCTGGATGAACCGCTGTCCCCCTGAAGTCCCTTCCTGTCCTTAGTCCAGGGGCCCATAAAGATCTCCACGCTGTGCACTGTGGTTGGCCTTGAACGGACTTCTTTCCGTTTTGGTCGCGTGTCTACTGGAGTAGAAGCACCTTGAGGGCCGGGCAGCGTCTTCTCTTTAACCCACCATCTCCCTCACATACAGTTCTGGGCAAGGCTGCCGTGTCTGACTCCCCCACTAGATTGGAAGCTCTGGGAGGGCAGACAGCGG